TTTAACTTCTTCCTTTCCTATCTTTATTCCTTTTATTTCTTTCTCTTTTCTAATTGCTGTGGCTAATGTTTCCAGAACTATATTGAACAGAAGTGGTGATAGTGGGCATCCTTGTCTTCTTCCTGATTTTAGCGTGAAAGTTTTCAGTTTTTGACCATTTAGCATGATGTTGGCTGTTGGTTTTTCATAAATAGCCTTAATCAGGTTGAGATAAAGACCTTCTATTCCAATTTTCTGTAGCGTTTTTATCATGAATGGGTGTTGGATTTTGTCAAATGCCTTTTCACCTGAAGGTATTTTCTTGAGGATCCCCACCCCTGTGTAGTTCTTTGGGCAGGGGGGGGTACCAGGGATCGAACTCGGGTCCTTGCACTTGCATAGCAGGCAACAAAACCACTGAGCTAAATCCCTGGCCCCTCCCCCATGTAGTTCTTCAATCTTTCAGGTACCTGTTGTCCTGTTCTCAGAGTCATCATAGCTGTGTCCATCTTACTGATCACCTCCCCCTGATGTTGAGCACTTCCTTCCCCCTCCTGCTGTAATTCTGTTTGAAAGATGAACAGATTTGAGCTCATGCGTTTGCTGTGGAGCAATCTCGGGCATTGGTATATAATAGTCTCATTGTTATGTCACTGAGCATAATAAGTATTTTTAAATAGCCTCTAAAATCAGTTTTGATTCCTATTTGACCCAGTGATTACTTCAGAACATTTTTTTAATTTCTAAAGATCCTTTAAAAATGTTTTATCATTAGATTTTAATTTTAATGTTCCATAAAAGGTCTTGGTCAGTTTTGCTTTGTGGAATACTTTAGAGATTTTCACTGTGGCCCACTGTATTAGTCAGCTTTCCATTGCTGGGGAAAAAAGAACCCTGACGTACCCAACTTAAAGGAGGACAGGGCTTATTTTGGCTCATGGTTTCAGAAGATCCAGTCCATGGTCCACTGGCTTAAAGGCAGAAAGAACATCACAGTAGAAGACACAGCTGAAGAAAGCTGCTCAGCTTACGGCCATCAGGAAGCAGTGAGGAAAGGACCCAGACACACCCAGAAGTATGTTACTAATCTCCTAGGTGTCTCTCTAGGCAGTCAAATTGACAATCAAGATTAACCATCACATCCACTTTATTGTAAAATGCTGTCATGGTCCTATGAGCCTAGATATTTTTTTTAAGTCAGATTTTCTAAAGATGTTATCAAAATTGAATGCAAATCTGTAGAATCCACCTTACCATTTGTTTCCTTCTGTTCTCTGTGGCCTCCCTCCACTTTCCTGAGGGAGCCCACACCCTGAGAAGAGCATGCTGTCCCTCCAAGGGCTGGTGACTGTGTTTCCATCAATGTCCCTTTCTTGTCACGAGACATTTTGCTGCAACTAGTGAAAGACATGCATTATATTTTTAATTCTACTATTATCCTTTGGTTTCCCAAAGACTTCTGTTTAGCTAATGACCTGGTCAAAAATAAAATGACCCTCATTGAATAGGAATATCCAGTTTAAATGATGTAAAGATCATGTGGTAAAATTCCTTTTTGTTGTAAAATAGTAGTTAAAGAATTCAGTTTACACAGACCTTTGTATTTAATATGTCTCCCTCTTTGTATAAAATTTCTGATGGGTCTGATCAGAGCCCTGGGCATAAGCTTAAACCTTGATGAAACATTACCAGGATCAAAAATTGCAAAATGATTAGGCTCTTCAAGGTATTTTCTGATATGATTAAGATTGAAAAGAGCCATAAAACATAAAAAGCTGTGTTCAAATAAATAAATAAATAAAATGGCCCCACCCCAGATAAAATGCAGACTCTGCCTGTCTGTACTCTGTCCGTTGCTTCCCCAGTTCTGGGTCTGAGCTAACTTACTTTGGATTTGAAGCCAGATACCCATCTTTAAAGTGTTTCTCAACACTACACAGCCTCTCTCGGAGAAATATTGTGATGTTTGCATGTAGCTCCATAATCATGTTGACCCTGACTTTCAGTGTTGAATTCCTGTGTCTAAGTACTGGTCTCTGTCAGCCTGTGTCAAGCCCCAGTGTCTCCATCAGCCTGTGTCTCATCTCACCCCCCAGGGCCTCTGTCAAGGAGGGAAGGCGGTGGGCTGGGTTCACCCTCTTTGTGCATGCACAGACCTCTGTGCCTTCATACTGGGGTGAGCACCTGGCTGATGACTTGGACCCCCAGAATTCGTGGGGGTCATTGTTCTCTTGCCTTCTGTTCTGCCTCACTTTGACAGCAGAGCATTAGGAGTATTTGCACTGCCTTGGCCACTCTGAAGCACCACTCCATCCTGTTCAGCTGTGTCTCGGATCTCCACCGGGCGTCCCATGCTCCCTACATAGACACTAAACTTGAAATGTAGTACCTTGCACCTTTTGGTGACCCGGTGGGCAACTGGACCTGTCTCTGGTGGCACTTGGCAAACCCCTGACCATTGATTGCCCTTCTGGTTCCCAGGGTGGATGGATTAGCCGTGGTCCCCAGTGCACCTCAAAAATAGACACTATCGAGACACTCAGGGGGAGGGCTGGGCATGTTGGCCTCACCCTGCAGCAGGCTGACTTCTCACTTCTCTCCTCCCTTCCTCTCAGATCCGTTCCGACAAAGACAATGACATCCCCATCCGGTACAGCATCACAGGCGTGGGCGCGGACCAGCCGCCCATGGAGGTCTTCAGCATCGACTCCATGTCTGGGCGCATGTACGTCACACGGCCCATGGACCGGGAAGAGCGAGCCTCTTACCATGTGAGTATCTCGCTGGAGGGCAGTGGGAGCGGGAATGGGCGATGTGGACCGAGGCGAGGCACACTCCTGGTTGGCACAGGCCCTGAGCCTCAGGAGATGACCCAGGCCCAGCCTCGCTCAGAACTGCCCATCTGGCTGGTTAAAGTGCCATGGCTGGCCCCCACTGTACTTCCAGCTCCTGCCCAGGAGAGGCAATGGTCTGTCAGGCCTCCACCCATGAGGTCTCCTGCTTCTTCAGTCTTAGCCGGGCAGCAGGGATCCTGTTCGCTTTCACACCCTTCTCTCCTGCTCAGCCCCGAGGTCATTCCCACCCAGCCCTGACGTGCATTGGTCCTGCCCAGCCTGACCCTCTCGGGTGTGAGCCCTGGGCAAGGCTCTCAGCCTCTCCCACCCCAGGTCTCTCCTGCCATGTGAGATGCAAGATGCAAGGGCAGTAGCTGCCCCACCCCCACCCCGGGGTGCTCTGAGGATGGGTTGGGCTGATGCAACGGTGAGGGCGCCATGTCTGTCTGTGGTTAAAGTTATGATGTTGACCTCTAGCTCCTCCTACTTTGGGAACAAAGATGGAATTCGCAGCTTCTGCGCAGTGCTGCCACAGTAATTGCTCTGACTTCACTTGCTTCAGCCCATGGCACTGCCTGTAGCCTGACCTGCTGCCTCTCATGTCTACTTGTCATTCGTTTGGAATTTCCTGTCCATCGCTCACCAGAAGGAGGCTCTGTGTTCACAGGCCATCGTCAGGGTGGCCCACACTGTGCCCCCAAAGACAGAGCCTGGGCCTGGAGTTGCTCACTGTTTGCAGAAGGCAAGGAGCTGATGGGAGGAAGTTGATGTTGTCACAGCTTCGTGGCCACCCCAGCTGACCTCTGCACCATCAGAAGCAGGATGCTTGACTAAACAGACCCTGGGGAGCCCACCTCAGGCTAGTTAGTGCCTTCAGAGCCACAAAGATTTCCTCCCGCAGACTAGCTGCCCAAGCCCCAAGCGGCTGCAGTTTCTAGTTCACACAGACTAGGAGCTGGTGCGTACCCTGTGGCATCTGCCAGTGGGCAAAGATGCAGGTCTGACATGAGTCAGGCTCATGGCACCTGGCATCTGCTCTCCTGTTCACTGGGCTTAGACATCCTCCTTCATGGCAACTTCCGAGGAGACCTTGCCCAAACTTCTAGATTCCTCCTCCTTACATCACTTATCCATTTATATATACATATGTACACATCTGCCCACCCACCATCCACCTACCCACCTGTGCATCCATCTTCGCCTCTCCATTCACCCACCATCTGTTCACATACCCATCTGCCTGTCCGCATATTTACCCACCCACCCTCCCTCGCCTCCTTCCATTCAGGGTTCACATTTTGAGCACTTACAATGCACCAGGCCCTGCATTAGGTGCTCAGCAGGTAGAGATGGGTGGAGTCCATGTGGTCCCAGCACTGGGTTAAGAAGGCCTCAAACCCCTCCGGGCAAGACTGGTTCCCACTTCTCCAGCAGCAGTGACAGGATGCCTCAGCCTGCCCCCAGGGGCACGATGGAGCATCTCCTCGACTCTGTGTCTCCCACAGTGGAGGCCAGGGGCAGGGAGAGGAGGTGGAGGAGCAGATTGTCTTGTTAGCTGGGTGGAGAGAGAGGTTTCCCTCAGGAGCCTAAGCAAAGTCCTCAGGCCTCCTTGTCAGGATTGTCAAGTTGTTTTAGGTCAAAGCAGAGGCATGAAGACCCGCCCGACAGGCTTGGCTCTGTGAAGTCCGGGTCACCCTGGCAACACAGGGGTGCACTTCCCCTTGTCCCGCTCTTGCCCCACGCTCATACGGACCTGCCCGACTCTGGGCCACGCTGACCCTTCCTCTCCTCCTCCTCCCTCCCGCATGCACCGTCTCCTCCAGAAAGTATTCCTGGGGGGCTCGGGGCCTGGGCCCCGCAGTGCTCACCTGTCACCCAGACGTGTTAACTGCTGACGGAAGGGGTGAGAGAAGGAAGTGAGGGGCGAAACAGACAAGCCCCTGCGCCAGCACCCCCGGCCCCTGCTGGCCCCACTTGGGCCTCTCCTCTCCTGCCGACTCCCTCCCTGGTTGAGGTCAGCTCCGGAGCCTGGTCCTTCATCCCAGCACTTTGCCTCTACCCGGCCACATGAGGAGGCCACTTGCTGATTAAATTCACCTCTCCAAGATCAGACAGATTCGTTTTTATTATTGTGGTCTCTGGAAGGAAGCTCCTCAGCTGTGGGGTCCTCGCTTTCGGCTCCTCTGCTCCCAAAGGCCTTGGCTTGGGGCCCAAGATCTCAGTGCTCTGACTGCCCGCTGGAGGGGGTTGCTCCACTCAGCCAGCTGCCTCTGGGCGGCTTCAGAATGACTTCTCTCTCTTCTGGGAGGGCGCAGCTCTTGGCAGGGCCTCCAGCAAGCAGGTGACTGGCTACAGCCTGGATCTTCTCTCTGTTTCTTCTACATCTTCAAGAACCTGACTGAAAGAATGCTGGCTTCATGGACATAAGGCTGGGGGCCGGGAACTTAGCTCAGTGATTTAGCTCAGGGGATTTAGCTCAGTGGTTCCGATGCCTACCTTGAAAGTGCAAGGTCCCGAGTTCCATCCCGGTACCAAAAATAAAAAAATAAACATGAGGCTGGGCTCAGAACCTCAAGCGTAGTGGGACCTGCTCTGGCCAAGCCCCGGCCTCGCTCCATATATCCCCGGAACATACAGAACTCCAGGTCCTGGTGCAAAACATACAAGAGCTTCCAAAGAATGCAATCCAGACCTTCAAATGAAGTCCCACGCTGGGCCCTTCTGAGCAGAGCCCGGGGAACTTGCCAGCCTCAGGCCAGGGTGCTCTGGAGCCGCCTGGGGCCCCTCCTATGCCCCCTCATCCTCCACCAAGCATGAACTCCTGACACAAAAGACCCCACTGTCCTCCCAGAGAAGTATGTGTGGCTGGCCGCGGCGGAGGGGGATGAGTCGCAAGTCTCCCCTGGCCCCAGGTCCTTGCTGCCCACCCCGCCCTGTGCTCCTCAGCTGCTCTGCTCCAGGCCTTGGCCACCCTGAATCACCGCCAGCCTCTGTCTCCTCCAAGAGCCCTCTGTGCCCCACCCCGCTTCCCTCAGGCCTGGGAGGGGCTTCCAGGTCAGCTGGAGAGATCTGACCACCCTGGCTGGGGCCCACGATCATTCCTGAGGTCTCAGCCCGCACCAGCTGCCATGGCCTGTCCACAGAACCGGGGCGGCAGTAGCAGGGCACGGTGCTCCACTGCCGTGCTGCACCAGATGTCTTCTTGACGTGGCTGCAAGCTGCATTCAGCACCCCATCTACAAGGGGAGCAGTTATCCCAACCCAGCACCCTGTGGCTGAGAAAGACGCGTGGAGGTAAGGAGGGATGAAGACAGAGCGGGGAGTTCTGCTCATTCGTGAAAGCCTCCATGTGCTTCTGTCATCTTTTTTTAGCAGAGTCAGGGCCCAGGCACCTTCCGGTCAGAGAAGCAGTGTCTGCGTGTGGGGAGCAGATGCTTCTCACGGGCGGCTCTGTGCAGGCGCTGCAACCTGGATAAGCAGCACCGTCGGAGTTCTGCTGCCTCCTGAATCACAGTCGTCCCTGAGGACCTGCACCTGGTGAAACCTCCTCCTCTCCATGTGTTTGATTCTAATTCCTTGTAGAAACCTTGAGCACAGAGCCAGCCCGGCTGCTTCACCCTCATCTCTGGAGCAGTCCCTGCCTCAGCTACCTGCAGACAGTTACTCAGGTGGCGCTGGCGGCATGGCTGGGACAGGGACCTCAGGGCTCCCCTGGGAAGCCTGAGGAACAGTCTGGAGCAGACCATGCAGATCCACCTGCAGCTGGTGGTCCAGACCGTGCAAGGCAGAGGCCAGGATGGCCCTAGAGGGGCAAATGTCACCTACCCCAAACCCTCCTCTCACTCTCAGGCAAAATCTACAACGCACTCAGTGCCAAGATGGCGCCAGGCAGAGGGACCCACCTCCTCTGCCCCAGTTCGCTTTGCAAGCTTGCCTCCATTTTTCTGTTGATGTGGCTGATTGATCTCCAAAGCCCCCTCAGCACCAGATGCTGCCCAGGAAAGCCGCTCACTGTCTCTGAAGCCAGATGGTCCTGAGACAAGCATCTGGGAAAACTGTGGCCACAGGCTGCCAGCATTCCTGGGGATTTGGGACCTGCCCTGGCCCAGAGAGGAGGCTGAGGTTCCCCCAGGCTCTGGCCCTCACTCTAGCTGCCTGCAGACTCTGAAATCCCCACCCGCCCTGGAGGAAGCAGAGAGCTGGGGAGAGGATGAGGCCTTGTGTTCCCTTCATCCCCAAACCCAGCTGTGCTTCCCCCAAGATGGGAACTCCGGCGGTCACAGTGCTCCTGCTGGACTCCAGTGATCCTTCTCAGGATTTCCACCTTAGAGGACCCCCATGGGGTCTTTGGGAGCAGGAAGGAGGGGTGTGTTCGTCCTCTACGCGCGAAACACTCAGGGGCCTCAGACACCGGCCCCCATTAGCTGGCTGTGTGTGGGTCAGAAGCCAGGTGGACTTGGCTAGTGTCTGTACTTAGGCCAAAGTCAAGTCCTGGCAGCCTGGGCACTCGTCTCAAGGAAAATCAGCTTCCAGGCTCCTTCAGGCTGTGGAGACTCTGGTTCTTGGGGGTCAGAGCTGAGGGCCCCATTTCTTTGTTGGCATTCAGCCAGCACTGCTCCTGCCTCCAAAGGGCACCTGCCCTCCTTGGCACATCCACCCACACTTGCCCCTGCTGTGGGGTGTGGCTGCCAGCACGAGAAGCGTCTGCCTTCTCAGTCCATGTGGGGCAGACCAGGCCTGCCCAGGTGGGCACTCCGCGTTAGGGCCAACTGTCCCAAGCAGTACGACCTCGTCCCAGGTGGGGGCTCTGGCTGCGGGCCCCTCTGGGGCCACCTGGAAGTCTCTACCTTCCCAGAGCCTTGGGACCCCATCCCATTTTCTGCCCAGCTGCTTTGGCTGGTGTGGGAGCAAGACCAGAGCCCAGCCTGAGGTCTCCTGAGGGTCTGTGGACATGTCACCTTGGGAAATCCGTAAGTAGACAATCAACCGATTGTTTTGCAAGACGACACTCTGAAAGATTCTTTCAAGGATACAGTAAGGAAGACACACAGAATGAACCCCTCCACACTTGGGCAAGTTCCCTAATCTAGGAAGGCCTTGGTTTCCCCGTCTGCAAAGCGGGAATCAAGGCAGTGCCAGTCTCTGAGTCCTGTGGGAACAGAGTCGGGTTAAGGCCCGTGGCTGTGTCAGGGCATGCCCAGCCCTGAACCCTTGCACGGCGGGTCCTGGCTGCTGGCCTCCCTGGTGAGGAACATCTCTCAGGATGTCCCCACAGGACAACTGGCAAGGCCCATGTGGACTACTGGGGGGCACTGTGGCCCCGGGGGAAACGCTCACGCCCAAGTAAGAAATGAAGAAGACTGGGCAACCCAAGGTGAGAGAATTGGATTCCACACATGAAGCGAGGGCAGCAGTCAGCAGGCACTCACATTCCTCCCATGCTTACTCCCACCCCCATGCAAGGCCGAGCTCACGTTTACTACCAGCATCTCCCAGGATAAGGATAGAAAAAAAGGCCTATTCATAGAATCGAAGGAAATCCACCTCTCCACTGATACTCAAATATGCAAGCTGTAGACAGCTGGATGATTCTTCTGTTAACATTCGTATCCCCGTCCGCCAAGGCAACGCCAGGCTAGTGTAAGCCCCAGTGGGTGAGCCCAGCCTGCTAGACAATGGAGGAGAAGGGTCTGCTTGGAGATCTCCAACAGACGCCGTCAAATGTAATGAAAATTCTAGGGACAGGAGGGAAGGGAGCTGGCCAACCAGCCAGGGAGCCAGGGAGCCAGGGAGCCAAGGGGCGGGGCTGCGGCTGCAGCTGTGCGTACTCGTTATCTGCCCGGGCGCTCCCGTGGCTAAAGACAGTGCCCAAACTAGGGTGCAGCTGGAGTTAGGAGATAATGACTTTCATCCTCGCTCAGAATTACTGTCTCAAAGGCTCCCGACCTTTGGCTCCGCACATTACTGTGTGGCTGCACCCGGCAAGATGAAGGATTTCCAGGCTGCACAGGCAAGATGAAGGATTTCCAGGCTGCACAGGAAGCCCTCTCCAGCTGGCCAAGGCTCTGACCGTCTAGGACGGGAACCTGTGGGTGACACGGGTGGGTGGCTGAGAACAGCCACGCAGTGTCTCGAGATTTTAAACACAATCCTTAAAGCTGGTGGGGCGCATGCACACCGGTGTCCCCAGGAACCAGTCCTGATTTGTCCAGACAACAGTGCGCTCATCTTGTCGGTGAAGCCAGGCTCCAGATTCCCCTTAAACACACAGTTCAAGGGCGAAATTCCCTTCAGCACTGTCAGAAAACGCACCCAACACAGGTGCCTGTGTAGACACGGCTGGCTCGCGTGCCCCGTTGGCAGTCGTGGAATCACTTCCCCCTCATCCCAGGTCCGCGGAGCCTCCAGGGCCCCGCTCTTCCTGGGCACCATTGCTGGTACTGCCTTGCAGGCTCACAGTGCCACATTTAAGAGGGGCGTGCAAAATTAAAAAAGTGATGTGCTTCCAGCAGAGAAGTGTGAACTAAGGACACCATGGTGTCACCATCGTGGCTTTGGTGCAGGGAGCTGGGGCCCCCAGTTTTGGTTTCTCCCTAAAAGCCCAGGTCCTCGAGGACCACACCCCCTCCCCTCTCCTGCCTGTGGAGCTGAGCCACTTGTGTCCTTATCCCTGTCCTGCCCTCGAGGTCTCAACCCAATGTCCCTCCTCCAACAGGCCTCCCCCCCGCCCCCGAGCCCTCCCCACCTGGGGCTGCTGTCATCACACCCACGGAGATCAGTTCCTTCCTGTCTCAGAGTCCATCTCCCTGCTGGTGAGAAGTGCCAGGGGCAGTCACCTCTTTATTACACAATGATCTAAGATGTGGTCTAGCACCTGGCAGTTTAGGTCTTTGATAGGCATTTATTGAATTTAATTAATTCAAAAATTAAGTCTCACCAGCCTCTCTGGAACCTTCCAGCCCGTGTTCAGGGGTCTTCCCTTTCTACTCCAAAGTTCTCGGAGCCCCCACTCCTGGCAGGGGCAGGCAGGCCTTCCCAGCCCTCTGACCATCCACTGCCCCACTGTACCAGGACAGCAGAGAGGCCTGAACCCGCAGCATCGCTCACAGTGGATGCTCAGATGAGCCCGGCTCCCAGTGCAAGCTCAGGCCTCTGCACCCCCCAAGTGTCTCCTCTCCGGGTCCCCTGCCATCCCAGGGTCAGTGTCTCAGGAGCAGCCATTAAGGCCTTGGTGCCGCTGGGCACAGATGGCCTCTCTGAAGCCCCTGAGAGTGGGGTGACTCATCTAAAGGTGGCACCTCCCCTGCCCAGGCACTTGAGAACGTCTGAGCAGACCCAGGAGGTCCTGAGCAGCCTCGGCCAGTGGGCACTCAGAGAACAGAGAACTGAAGCTAAGAGCAGTTCCCAGATGTGGCCAGAGCCCCGCTGACCAGACTGCCTCTGCAGTCCCCAGGGCCCAGCGGCTGCTATCTGTGCCCAGTACTGCGGGTCCCCAGGCAACTGCCCTCAGCAGGGCAAGGCTCCCCGAGGGCAGCTTCCAGGGCTGACGTGTTCTGTTGCCCCCTAGCTTCGAGCCCACGCTGTGGACATGAACGGCAACAAGGTGGAGAACCCCATTGACCTGTACATCTACGTCATCGACATGAACGACAACCGCCCTGAGTTCATCAACCAGGTCTACAATGGCTCTGTGGACGAGGGCTCCAAGCCAGGTGAGCACAGTGCTCAAGACTCATGGGCATGGGTGTGGGCATGCCGGGACCACACAGGTGCTGCCGGGCGAGGGCAGGCAGGGGCCAGTCATCCACACGCCTGCTCTCATGGACCTCAGGATCCCAGTGCAGACAAGAGGTGCGGTAGCCCCAGTGAATTGCAGTGACCTGAGCCCTGAGAGTTGTGGGGACATGGTTGGCCAAGGAAGGCCCCTGGGGGAGGTGACGTGTAGTCTGGGCACTGGTATGTGAGGAGGAGCAGCACAGAGAGGGGCTGGGTCCTGGGGTTGCTGCAAGTGAGCCTGGGAGATGAAGGAGCACATACAGAAGACCTGGGGCAGGAGGCCAGACAGAGACAAAGCACTGCCATTTGGGTTTCATGGGCTACACTTTGGATCTGGTCCCAAGCACAATAGGAAATGAGGCCAGAATCCCCTAGGCCCAAGAGCTGAGCCGTGCACAAAGGCCTCTGTGCTCCTCGAAGATGACCCAAGAACCCGCTCCCCCAACACAGACTTCTGTGTGGCACAAATTGTGACAACCGCTTCATTGTGTGCTGGGGCCCTTCCTAAGCATATTGTGTCTTGTGTCTCTGCATCCTGTAACCGCCAGGAAGCAGGCGTCCCTCGTCCCCCTTAGCAGTTCGGACTCAAGGCCAAGGGCATGGCCAGCTGTGAGCAGGGTCAGAACCCTGTGCTTGTGGCCTGTGGCCCCGCAGCAGCACCTGGAACTTGGAGGTGCAGTCTCTGCCAACCCCAGACCTGCTGGTTCACCCTGCAGTGAACCCGGAGACCCCAAGTGAGTCTTTGTAAGAGCTCCCCACTGTGCAGCCTCCTGCGTCCCAGAAGGGGTCCCCCTTGAGGTTGGGAGCAGGTGAGGCCCCCCGCTGCAGCTGCCCAAGAGCACCAGATAGCAGTAAATATGAAGCTCAGCCATTCAGTGAAACATGCTCACACCTACGTAAGTGCCAGGAAACTCTGGAGACACTTATGTTTGAAAGGTGTTCTTTTTGGTACTGGGGATGGAGCTCAGGACCTTGTGCTTTCAAGGCAGGCGCTGGAACCACTGAGCTAAATCCCGGCCTGAAAGGTATTCTTTGTTGGTCTGAACTTCAAGTGTAACTGCAGGTCCTGTTTGGTTTTGGGTTTTTTTGTTTGTTTGATTGACTGTGTGTGTGTGTGTGTGTGTGTGTGTGTGTGTGTGTGTGTGTGTGTGTGTGTTTTCTTTCGTTTTGTGGTACTGGGAATTTGATCAAGGGCCTTCACACTGGAGCTGCATGCCCAGCCTTTTTATTTTTTTAAGCTTTGAGACAAGGTCTCACTAAGTCACTATTGCCCATGCTGGGCTGAAACTTTTGATCCTCCTTTCAGCCTCCCAGAGTGCTGGAATTACAGGGGTGCACCACCACACATGGCTAGGTCCTATATTTCAGTGGGCAGCCCCACCCTGGCCCTCACTCAGAGCCGAGGGCAGGCCATCCTGCATGGGGAGCCACTCTCGTCAGGGCCCGGGAGGGTCGGCCCATCCAGCTCGGCAGACCTGCAAACATTTATCATCCTGGCTGAGGCTGTCATGGCTCCTTCTCAGGGGGCTGCTGCTTCAAGGAGGCGAATTGTGTTTTCCATTGATTGTCTTTCACAATGGTGAGGCCTGGGCCAGCCCTGTGTCGCCCAGGGAAAGGGATGTGACACTGCTTTGCAGAAACTCGGGCAGCTGTCCGGCCATCCCTAGAGGGCAGGGCAGGCCGTGGGTGGGCAAATTAGCTACAAGCTGCCCTGGTGGAGGGGCTGGGAGCGGGTGTGGGCCCAGCTGGGGTGCATTCCTGCGAGCAGAGGCAGGCAAGCCTCTCCCAGACCAGGGACCTATTTAAAGGCACTGGGATTCTTCTGGCCTTTCCATCCCAAATCAGATTTCCCACATCTTATTTTAAAACAAATCAATAATGAAAGTCTTTCCAAATGTGTAGCTGGCTTTGCTCATTAGGGTAACAAGAGCCGCAAATTGCCGAGTCTCTGCTCAGAAATCCCCATAAGCCTTTAAGCCTGAGGTCCGGGCGGGTGGTGGGCGCGTGTTTGCTCTCTGGCCCAGCCTGCGCGGGTGGGAGCCACGGTGAATCCCAAACCCTGTTCTAGCCCTGCTTCCCTCCCCCTCCCTCCCAAGCTTTTCGGGGACTGGGACCAGGTGTTCGTTCCATGTGGACTTCCAGAACCCTGGGAACCCCAAGGCTGCCCCTGGTCTGGGAGCCAGATCTCTGTGCACAGTCCAGGAAGGAGCTGGAGGAGGCACCTGGAAACCAGCTCCTCCTCTCCTTCGGCCAGGTGAGGGGCAGCGTCTGCCGAAGTGCGACGTGTGTGCCCAGCAGCACCGTCCCCAGGACCTGGAATTCCTCTGTGCAGTCTCCGCTCTCCCATCAGGAAATTACAGTAATGGCAGGGTTTTACCCAGGCCTTTGTGGGATAAGGAAACACTACCGCCAGAAATTAGTCATTATTCTCTGGAATGATGGGCTAATGAAAGGTTTCAGATGTTCGCTCTAATGGGAAACAAATGCGGAACATTAAATATTGACTAAGCCAGGGAACTTTCGAGGTTGGGGTTCATGTGGGGACACCAGTGAGCAGCTGGGGCCTGGAGTCCCCACTTCCGCCCCCGGCCTCAGGCTCCCCTCAGTGTGGTGACGCCCTCTGGGGCACCACTGACTGCTCAGCCCCTCAGGCACCCCACGCCTCTGGCAGAGCAGAGCAGGGCTCTTGGTGGCTCGGGGTCTAACCTCAGACCCCTTCCTCGCCTGCTCCCGGGCCCGTAGGAAAAGGCCTCGCTTCCTCTCGCGTGCAGGCTAGGGAGTTCCTGGGTCTGGAATTTCCCAGCTGTTGCTTGCTGCTTTCCTGACCCCGAGCCCCTTGGTGACAGTCGTTCTCAGGAAAGTGCTCCTTCGGCCACACTGGCCGTGGCATCGGCAGTCACATTCCTGAGCAGTGGGACAGAGCCCAGGAGGGCACTCTCTTACCCCAGTCCCAGGCAGGTTCCTTGGGTCACTCTTGGCCCTGTGCTGCCCCAGCCCTCCCTTGCTCCCACACACCCGGCACTCTGCACACACACACACACACACATACACACACATGCATGCGCACGCTGGGGACGTCCTCCATCCCTGGGCATTCCCTGCTGCCCCAGCCAGAGGGCCACTGAGATACAGTCACTGCCTAGCAAAATGTGCCTACCTAGGCCTTCCTCCCCTGGCCCCAAAACTGAACCTCAGCCTCCTGAGCCCTGCAGGACAGGGCCCAGCCCTCAGTCTTGCTCGGCAATTGATCTGTAATACAGATGTCGTTTCCAGTGTGGGGATATTATGAATAAAACTGCTAAGGACATTCACTTATGTAGAGGGTTTTGTGTGAACATGTGGCTTCATTTCTCAGGCATAAAGGCCCATGAATGCAGGTCCTGCCCATCCAGTGTGTTAGTCAGCTTTTCATAGCTGTGACAAAATACCTGAGCTTGTCAACTTTTAAGGAGGAAAGGTTTGGTTTGACTCCTGCTCTGAGCTCATGGTCAATTTGCTTGGAGGCGTGGTAAGGCAGCAAGAGCAGTTGGTGAGGAAGCACCAAGAAGTGGAGAGGGGAAGTGGCCAGGGTCCCACCCTCCCTCCGGGACATGCCCCCAACTACCCCCTAGGTGCCCCACCTGTTGGGAGCCAAGCCTTGGCGTACAGGCCTTTGGGGGGCATCCAGACCCAACCCTGGCATATGGCGAGCCAGAGTGCAGCATTGTAAGGAACTTCCGTGCCGCAGCTCCCCCCCCCGCCCCCGGCGGGGAGTGAGCCCGTGCCTCTGCATCTGAGCTGTCCCTGTCCTGTCCTGCGTCAGCCGCTCAGAGGCAGGTGGCGCCCTCTTACTGCGGTTCGAAAGTACGTTTCCCTAAGGGCGAATGACGGGGCCAGACGTCTCTGCCGGGTCTCCTGCTGCCTGTGTCCTCTCCCGCGGACCTGCTCGTGTCTGTAGTCCTCTTCCTAACAAGATTGTTTTGGACATAGTTGGAGAGTTCTGCACACATGCTAGATGATCGTGATCAGTCTTTCTCGGGTGTGAGTGCCGATGTTTCTCCCTTCCCGGAGCTTCTCTCCGCCCCTCCTCCCAGGCCTTCTACAAGCTGAACCCCGACCTGGCAGGGTCTCCTCCTGTGGGTGGAGCTTTGGGTCAGTTCCTCATCAGGCCCTGGGTCCTGGAGACGCTCTCCCAGGCCTTTCTCTAGTTTGGTGATTTTGCACTTTATACTCTGTCCATGGTTCATTCTGAGCTGATTCTGTGTAAACGTCTAGTTTACGTCCAGTTTTTTGTTTGTTTTCACATTTTTGCCTGTTGCTCCATCCTCCATTGTGTGGAGCTGTCCTTCCTCCTCCAACTGTTTTCAGACCTTTGTCAAAAACCACGTGGGCTGATTTGCATCTGTCCCCAGGTCTCTGCGCGCTCCGTGGTCTCTGTATCTGTCCTCCTGCCAATGCCACGCCACCACGCTGTCTCAGTGACTGTCGGAGGGGTGGTCGGGCAGGGTCACATCTGCGTGGGCCTCCCGGGGTGGAAGGTGCTGGAGCCTCGCCGCGCCCAGGTCTGCACTATACGGCACTGCACAATGGTGGCGTGGCCAGACAACCTACTCTCCTCTGCCTGTTAAACCTCAGCAAAACGGGAATAATCATAAGCTCACCCGATGGAACCAAGGCTTAGGTGGGGCCATCTGCCTGGGGCCCCCAACACTTGGTGCTAATTACTATTAACCGGTAGTAACTTACTAGAATTGCTATAAATTCATACTCAGAACATGAGCTCATTTCCCTGACTCTGCTGGTTACTTTTGCAAAACTGAACTTCTTTTAATAAACGTAAGATCCAGGCCAGGTGTGGTGGTACAGGCCTGTAATACTGGTACCCAGGAGGCTGAGGCAGGAGGACCATGAGTTCCAGCCCATCCTGGGCTACATAGGGAGGCATTGTCTACACACA